TATGATTATATTAATTCTAAATACTAATCATTTTTATAATGATTTAATGTTTTCTATTATTTTCTATGGGTTTATTTAAAAGTAAATGAATGTTGATTCACTCTCAATGTAACATCCCATAATCTCACATTTGATAATTCATAAATGATATATTGTATCATTAGATTTAAGGTAATATCGCATAATATCACACTTGATAATTCACAATTGATATGTATATATGTTTTAAACTCATATTTTCACCTAACAAACTCATTATATAACTCGAATTTCTTCTAATTTATTCTTCTATTCTCTTCCTTCGTGCACTGAATCAGACGACATTCCTTCATCTGCTCCCGTATAACAAATTATACGATCATTGCACAAACACAAGCAAGTAGGGTGAGCCATGCAACAAATCATTTATAAAACATGCATAATTACTTTGATACACTGAACAAACATCATATAATAATTATGTCAGACACCCTCATACCACATACAACAATCGCACCATAGATACTCATCCCATCATACCACAATTCCTAATAGACACTCATCCCACAATACCCAATAGACACTCATCCCACAATAATAGACACTCATCCCACAATATCCAATAGACACTCCATCCCACAATACAATAGACACTCATTCCACAATAGCCAATTAGACACTCATTCCACAATAACCCAATAGCACTCATTCGGATGATACATTGATGAGCGGTCACGGGAGGTTATGTACTTGTGATGACCCTTACTCAATACTATGTCCAAAACCGGCACATAGACTAGGACCTCCTGCCCCTCTCACAACATAATTCATCCTTCTCTACTTGAGACTGATGATTATTAGAGTATCAGGATAACCTCAAACAACAGGACCCTCAACATCAACATATACACTAATACCATATCATTACGGAATCTCTCCACGAGACTCATGTCATGTTCATATTCATCAAAAAAAAAAAAAATCATACAGCTCAAATCATAAATTCCATATCCACCACAATCATGAATTCATGATAAATTTTCATTCCACAAAAAGATCTAATTGCACAATAATTTACAGTACATAATATGTTCAATAAGATTTAAGTTAAAAACTTGTCGAGTAGACGTTCAGAAAGAGAGGTGTGTCACATGGACAACCTTAAGTACCAAGTCTTTCCTTAGACCAAAGTGTTTCCTCAACTAGTTTTAAACAAATTTCTTATTTACAGATTCAAAACAACAACATATAATAAGACATGAATAGTAATAAAACAATACTAAATCATAATATAAAAGCTTAGAAATTCCCGGAAAACTTCCAGAATCCCCCTCCCCCTTGCTTGGTATTTATAGGCCAAGATTCTGATACTATTATATATATATATATTATTCTATATATATATATATATATATATATATATATATATCTATATATTTTTTTTTTTTATTATTTCAATCACCGAAAGTTTCTTTGTCCATTTGTTTTTTTTAAACAAAAAGGTAAACAAGAGTTTGAATTGAACCCATGTTGTTGAAATCACCATGTAAACAAGAGTTTGTCCATTCTTTATCTTCTTTTCAATTTTACCTACCAATTTTATATAATATATATAATATTTAATTATATTTATTCTGACTAAAATGCTTTCAAATTTCTAACTTTTTCCTTTAATTTCGTTTCAGTGTGAAGGAATACAGAATATGTGTTCTCATCATCAACGAATACATGCAATTCGTGTACTGTTCTTCAAAGCAGACAGGGTGTGAAGATTTTCTTTTCAACTCAATTTCCATACCAAACATATTCTTATTCTATTGATTTTAGTATGGCCTTTATATATATATATATATATATATATATATATATATATAATATTCTTAATAAATCACATATAATAAATTATAATTAGAATATTATCATTAAGATACCAAAATTCTTAACTATACTTCTAATTAATGGTGACATCTTATATTAATATTTAAATTTATGCTCATATTTTTTCATACATTATTGTTTTTCTCATATCAAAGTAATAATACAAATATTCAGAATTAAAATAAAATATAAAAATTAAAGGAACAAAATATATAATATATAAATAATATAATTTTATTAAAGAAACAAAAATTACATACTCTTCTCTTTAGTTTTAAAGATAAAACAATGAAACTGAGATCTAAGCTTACTTACATAATGGATTCACATAATTTTTTATTCAAAATCTTAAGATAATGGATTAATGGATTTTCAATTTTATATGATGTTTGACTTTCTCGTGGAACTTATACTAACACTTTAAATTCTAAGAATCTTCCTCTTTAAGGGTCAATTTCTTTTACATCGATATACTTTCCTTTCAACGGAAGTCACGAGTACTCCTTTTTGTACTGTCGTTTATCTAACGTGATACACTTACTTTGAAGTCTTTGTTTGGAAGACTTTCGATACATGAATATTTTTTACTCATACGAACCTAACTTACTTATGTGTGTCTCTTATTTTATATAAAATGAGACCTTTTAACTTGCTTATGTGTGTTTCTTATCCATCTCTTATTTTATCCAAAATGGGACCTTTGTTTGTATCATGATACAAGACAACTCTAAAGAGCATAAGTGATTCTATTTCTTCGTCACTGATATGCTTACTTTATACTTTGAGAATTTTCACTACTATTGAGTGTTATACTTGTTTATTATCCTCTAACAACTTTCAAGTGCACACAAAACACATTGTTTTACTCTTCTTATAGGACCGTACCACTACTTAATTATAACATAATTTTATGATTTTTAACATTTTAGATCCTATACACCGTTTTCATACAACATATTTAGTAAGCGATAATTCTTTTAGAAATACAATCTATTTTTCATTCAAACTACAATTTTTCTTTAAATTATATTTCCATTATTTAAACATCACATCATAATAATGAAGTAGTGATATAACAAATATGTTTTATATGACACTTAAAATTTAAATCATATACATTTTTTTAAAATTTAATTTATTTTATAAGAACTTCTCAATACAATACAAGAAAGTTTAGTTCTTTAACAATTTATTTTATAATCATGATGTTAATTAAACTATTAGATATACTACTAAAACATGTTAAACATTAAAAATTAATAATATTCCATCACACGTTCATGCATAAGCATATAATATGTTATGTATGAGATAAATGTCTTAGTTACATTTTAAAATATTAAATTAAATGTTTAACTACTATTTTGGTTTTTATATTTTGGATTTTGATAGGTTTTAGTTTAAATATTTGTTTTTTTTTTCAATCAAGTTTCATTATATATTAAATTGATTCAATGTAATTTCTTTCATTTGTTGAAAAGTAACCACCTGTCAATCTAATCAAATGTTTATTGTTAATTTAGTCTAAATTGAGTTTATATATTATTTAAATAGAGACAATGTAGTATCTTTTGTGAAATCAACGTTGTGAGTCTAAACATTCTTCTTCCCCTCTAATCCATTTTTTATTCTCAGACACAATCTAATTAAAGTCGTCTCTATTAACTTCTGCATCCAAGTTCTACATTTTTGTCTAACACATATTTAAAAACGAATGAACTCAATTATGACTTTTGGATTAAAATTTAAGATCCATAGAGAACAATATCGATGAAATAAGACTATATTGTCTTCATATAAAAGGATTAAATTAAGTGAGAAGAAAAAAATAGAAACTAAATTACTAATTAAGTTTTTTATTTGATTGAGACATAATTAACTTTCAAACAATATTAACATCAATTTAATAAAATAAATCACATGAAATCAATTTATCGTAAAATGATACTTGATTAAAACAGAAATATATATTAAAATAAAAAATAAATGAAACTCAAAATATAGAAAGAAAGTAGTTGAATCTAAATTAATTTATCTGAAAGTTGATACATATAGCATCTAAGATAATACAACATGATTTAATAAATAAATGAATAAAATTTACAATACCATTCAAAACATAAAATTATAAAATTTGACGTTTATTGTGAATTAACTTGTCTGTGTCGTCCTTTATCATATTTCCAATGATTTTATTCCATGGCTGTCTTCCAAATTTCAAATCAACCAGCCTATTCAAGTTATTTAATTATTAAGCAAGATATGCATCCATGTCTTTTCTTTTTATCTGTACTAAGAATATGCGTATATAAAAGCGGAAATTGATTTCTTCAGCGAAACGTAAATTAATATTACTACCAATCCATCTACCCCCAACAAACTATTTATCAACTGAACAATATTGGCGTGAGATTCACACATTGTATAATCTAACGCACGTTTTCTGTTTTTCGATTTACACATCTTAAATGTATTGTCACAAGGATCCTAAGAAGTTTTGAGAAAATCTATCAAATATGTTATAATAACAGAAATTAAAGAAAAACGTCCAGCAGCAATATTGCATTTAAGTTTTTGTCCGAATTTAATTTATGTCTGTGGAGATGTTCATTTGGCATAAGTAAAAAGTTTGGAATACAAAAAGACTACAGCTTGAATGTAACATTAGTGGGATGTCTTAATCGTATACATGTTTTGGTGCGTGTGTCAGTTCGCTATATAAAATTTTCTCACAGTGTTTTATAATTTGGGATAACACAATAGCTTGGTCTTATTTTATCCAGGCATGCGGATAATTCTATGTGCGCGACTGAATAAACAAGATGACCCAGCTTTGCATCTGGTAATGGCACGTGGCAGCTAATTCGAAACACCATTGCAGGAAAGCATTCTTCTTCTTCTACTCCTACTAGAGAGAGAGAGAGAAAGAAAGGGAAAGAGGAGGGAAACAAGTCGTGGTTCTGACACAAGAAGATCGAACATTGAATGGGGAATTCATAGGAAAATAAAAAGCAATTTTTTATTGAAAATAAGAAAAGTATAGTATAAAAAACGGAGACATGAAGAAAGAGAGAGAAACTGAAAAGGAAAGAGGGTGAAAAATAAAACAAATCTTTTTTGGTGTGACGAGGACGTTTTGGTTCGTAAGAGCGTCCAAGTTCTCTTCATGTAAGAAAGTGGGGTCCCCTTCTCTCTCCTCTTCTAAATCCCATCCAACTCACCTCTTTCTCCTCTCCCACGAAACAACGGCGCTTTCTCTCTCTACATGGTTTGTGGTTTGGCATTGCCAAATACACAAAGGGTATTGTTCAAAAGGTTATTAAGATTCCCTGCATACGACCGCAACACTTCGTTTTTTTTTTTCTTTTCTTCACCTGGGTTTGCCTGTGGCGTAGAGACTGCGTTTTCCTCTCTGTTGTTTTCGATTTTCTACCGGCACTGGTCTTGAGGAGTGGTTTTCCGCAAAAGGGTCGCACCCGGTTTCTTGCTACAGCGCCTCGTGCCACAGTGAAGATGCCCTTTTTTTAATTGATATGTTGGGATTTGGTGGCTCCTTCAAGTGGGTTTCTTTCTTTGGTCTTCCCAATGGTGGAGGTGGGTGCACTTCTTCTTCTTCTTGTTGATTAAACGTCTATAAAGTAATGGACTTTGCTGCTGGAGCCTTTTGATTTGATGCTCAACGAGCTACAGGAGATTTGGTTAATGTGTTGTTAGTGAGGGAGGTATCTTTAACACGGTTTTGGTCTTTCCAGGGAAAGGTTGAGATCTGATGGAGGAGTGATGTCTGATTGCATTAAGGGGCTGTAATTCCTCAGGTACTTTTGCCTTTTCTTTTGGACTACATTACTGGGTTTTTGGTGTCTTTTCTTATTTCTTTTTTTCTTTTTTGGTTGGGAGGGGGTTGAAGGAGTATTAAACCTGTTGGACTTTGTTTTTTAATAATATTTATTTTGGCTTTGCCTCCCCCAGGTTTATAGCTAGCTTGGTTTTCCTGATTCTTTTATTCCTTTTTTTTATCCTTCTATTTTGCATGGGGTTTTCTTCGTTTGGGTTGATGGAAATGTCCTCTTCACCTGTTGGCACTGTATTATTCACTGATTCATACCACTCCATTAATAGGGGCATGAAAGAAGGTGGAAACTGAACTTATGAGAGTGAAATGTTTTAGATCGTTTAATTTAGGAAAAGAGTTAAAGATTTGTTTGTATTTTTTAATTTTTCTTGATTTGGATCTCGTGTATTTCCTTTTCCTTGTTTTGGATCTTACTGAGATTTCAATTTGTGTACCTGTTGATAGGGCAATACAATTGAAAGGGAGGAGGTTGGGTGGTCACTGGGGAGTGCTATGGCCCATTAAATTATATCCTTTGATGGATTGAGGAAGCAGCAACATATTGGATCAATGTTAAAAGCAGTGGCATCTGGGCTGTTGATTACCTCTGTCCTCATATGCGTATCTGCTAATGATAATGGATTTCCTAGATGTAACTGCGATGATGAGGCCAGCTTCTGGACTATTGAAAGCATTCTGGAGTGTCAGAGAGTTGGTGATTTCTTGATTGCTGTGGCCTACTTCTCCATCCCCATTGAGCTGCTTTATTTTATCAGTTGCTCAAACGTCCCATTCAAATGGGTCCTGATTCAGTTCATTGCCTTCATTGTACTATGTGGGTTAACACATTTGCTCAATGGGTGGACCTATGGTCCTCACACTTTCCAACTTATGGTGGCACTTACTGTCTCTAAAATTCTCACTGCATTGGTGTCATGTGCCACCGCCATAACCCTCATTACTCTGATTCCTTTGCTTCTCAAAGTGAAGGTCAGAGAGTTCATGCTGAAGAAGAAGACATGGGATCTTGGACGTGAGTTTGATAATATTATGAGGCAAAGGGAGGCTGCAGTGCATGTAAGAATGCTTACTCAGGAGATACGCAAGTCACTGGATAGACACACTATTCTGTATACCACTTTGGTGGAGCTGTCTAAAACACTGAGCTTGCAAAATTGTGCTGTGTGGATGCCTAATGTTGATAAAACTGAGATGAACCTTACTCATGAATTAAATGGAAGGAATTTCAATTTGTCTATACCCATTAATGATCCGGATGTTGTGAGAATTAAGGGAAGCGACCGGGTGAATATACTTAGCCCCGACTCAGCACTTGCTGTTGGAAGTAGTGGAGCTTCTGGAGAGGCAGGACCAGTTGCGGCAATCCGAATGCCTATGCTACGTGTTTGTAATTTCAAAGGAGGTACACCTGAACTAAGACAGACTTGTTATGCAATATTGGTCTTAATTCTTCCTACTGGAGAGCCTAGATCTTGGAGCAATCAGGAGCTGGAGATAATTAAGGTGGTTGCTGATCAGGTTGCAGTGGCTCTATCTCATGCTGCAATTCTTGAAGAGTCCCAACTTATGAGAGAGAAGTTGGAGGAACAAAATCGAGCTTTGCAACAGGCTAAAAGGAATGCTATGATGGCAAGCCAGGCAAGAAATGCATTTCAGAAAGTCATGAGTGATGGAATGAGAAGGCCAATGCACTCAATTTTGGGATTGCTTTCAATGATACAAGATGATAATTTGAAGAATGAACAGAAACTTATCGTGGATGCAATGCTTAGGACCAGCAATGTCCTATCAAACTTGATAAACGATGCCATGGACAACTCAACTAAGGATGATGGAAGATTTCCTTTGGAGATAAGGTCTTTTGGGTTACATTCCATGCTGAAGGAAGCAGCTTGCCTTTCAAAATGCATGTGTGTTTATGGGGGCTTTGGTTTTATGGTTGAGGTTGAGAAGTCTCTGCCAGACAATGTTATGGGTGATGAGAGGAGGGTTTTTCAGGTGATTCTACATATGGTTGGGAATCTACTACAGCACAACCACGGGGGAGGGATCCTAGTATTTCGGGTTTTTGCAGAAACTGGAAGTCAGGGAAGAAGTGACAAAGGGTGGACAGCCTGGAGACCAAGCTCTTCTAGTGGTGATGTAAATATTAGATTTGAGGTAGGGATCAACAGTAGTGATTCTGAAGTGGGGAGTTCGTCAGGACTTGGGGGTAGGAATTATAACAGTGATAGAGTTGGCGGCAGATTGAGCTTCAATATTTGCAAGAGGGTAGTGCAGGTGAGTGTCTTGAAGCTTATGTATGCATGGATATAGTGAATGCATTAACACACTGATTTACAATGAGTAGTAATTTTCAGATTTTGGGGAGAATCCATTTTATGCAGTTCTTCAGTATCCAAATCTAATTTTTCCTTTTGTGAGCCTTTAGAAGATAAATTCATCAGGAGGATGGTTGTTTACACCTCTTTATATAGTTTGGTGTTACAGAAAAACTGAATTTGGTTGTTTTGTTTGAAATTTTCATTGTTTGTTTTCTCTCTTGCTTGAAATGTTTTAGGTAAAGCCGTGGGAGATTGAAGGTAATGCATGTTGATATTATTATCTACAGTGAGATAATCCTTCAACTGTATTTTCCTTCTTGATGTCCTCGAATTCCCTCGATCATTTAGAATTCATTATATGAATTAGAGCGTAGTTTTCTACTTTCTTCAGGATTTGAATTATGCAGTGTTGTTTTTTATTCAGCGTGGACTGTATTCTGTGGTTCTTTTTCTTGCGTTGAATTGGTACTAAATTTCTTTCTATGATGTTAATTTCAGTTGATGCAGGGGAACATATGGTTAGTACCTTGTGCTCATGGTTATCCTCAAAGCATGACACTTCTTCTTCGGTTTCAATTACGACCATCCATTACCATAGCCATCTCTGAGCCTGGAGAAGGTTCAGAGCGTACCGATTCGAATTCAATGCTGAGAAGTCTGCAAGTTCTTTTAGTGGACAATGATGATGTAAATAGAGCAGTGACCCAAAAATTGCTTCAGAAACTAGGTTGTGTTGTAACTCCAGTTACTTCAGGATTTGAATGCCTTACTGTCATTGGACCTGCCGGATCTTCCATTCAAGTCATTCTTTTAGATCTTCACATGCCTGATTTAGATGGCTTTGAAGTTGCCACGAGGATTCGGAAGTTTAGAAGTGGAAATCGGCCAATGATCGTAGCCTTGACTGCAAGTGCAGAAGAAGATTTGTGGGACAGATGCATGCAAGTTGGTATCAATGGAGTTATCCGAAAACCAGTTTTGTTGCAAGGAATTGCTAGTGAACTCAGAAGAATCCTGATGCAGGGAAATAATATCCTGTGAGAATGGAGGGTGCAAGTTGTAACACTTAAGCATAAAGTATTTAAGTTATTTTAAGGCACATTCTTGGTAGAATTAGAACACAGCACTCTTTGGCTCTCCCTCGTGCTAGCAATTTTCAGCTTAGAGATGTTATTATTATACACACGATTTTCATAAGAAAAAAAAAATGGTATACAGATCAGTTCCTTTCCAATGTCTTTACGTTGTCATTGCCATGTATGTAGTTTCAAATCTAGTACTTGCATCTTCCCATTATAGGGTGTGCTGGAACTCATTCTTTTAGATTAGTATCTCGTAAGAGCTCTTGAAAAAACTGTTTGAACATGTTAAACCATTCGTTTCTTGGACTGTTTAAGTTCTATATTTGTTTGTGAAAATATGTCTGCCAGTTACCATATGCTATATATGTCAGCTTGAGATTTGAAGCAAACAAATATATATATATATACTTTAAAATGAACACCCTACTTTTACCGGTGAACGTTATAATGAATGATGAAAAGTAGATGGTATTAAATAACGTAACACGGTAATGAATGTATTGCAGTAATAGGATGATAAAAAATGGCATGAAAATGTCTGAAGGTTGTGCCGTCAACATTTGGCACGCAACGAGAGGGACAGGCTTTAATAACTAACAGAGTTGGATATTTGGTCTGAGATTATCGAAATGAATGAGGCAAAAGCGGTGGAAAAAGAGAAAAAGAAACGTAAGAGTGTTGAAGTTGTAGTGTTGGTGCAGGTGCGTTTGCAAAAGAGGGAAAGTTTTATTGGGTTGAGAATCTGTAATCGGTTTCTCTTGGAGAGAATTATATAAACTTGATTCCAGGTATGGGCCAGATATTTTTGAAGTTGAAACCATGCATGAATCTGAGCACGTACCTAGAACACTTGTCATTTTCACGTGGACCCATCACTTATTTTAATTTCCTCGTGTCCCTAACACACTTAGACCAACTTGCCTTTTATTATCATTATTTATATCTTCTGCTGGTCTATTTGTCACATACCATTGTTTATCCCTTTTCTCACTTTCAACTTTACCCTATTCAACACCCCTACAGAGTGAATATATTTTAATATAAAATAAAAACCATGTTCGCATATTTAGTAATCTTAATTGGTGTGATGTAAACCTACTTTATTTTGAATAAAAAACAAACAACTTTGTTTTATTCGAGTGTTTAGCTTTATGCTGGAAATGATGAAAATTCATCTTCACCACAAGTTTGTTTTAATTTTTGCTGGGTAAAATTTATATTGCCTCAAATTTTCAGTTTCACTAAATAACTTGTATTTAGTTGATAATTTTATGTTAAGTTTTGTAGCATACTTGTTTTCAAGGTAAAATATCTAATCCGTTTGAAAATTAAATTTGAATAAAATCAATATCTTTTGAAATAAATTTTGTTAATTCCCATTCAAACACGTTCAAAAAAGGAGTTGGAGAGGGTCATAGACTTAGAGCTTTCAAAGCAAGCCAATAGGGTTGGTTCACTTTTTTTGAGTTAGACAAAATGCAGTTCAACTTGTTACACTCTGAATTAGTTGGTTCGGTGGATTCACTTTATTTTAAGAAAAAGAGTGTGGAAAAATTAAAAATTCAACTACAGAAAATAAAAAAGTTATATATATATATATATATATATATATATATATATATTTATATTTATTTATTTATTTTGTGTGTACGTGTGTTTGTATTAAAGGAATATATACATTTTTTTACCATAGTGCAAATTTTGGCATAAATTAGTCAAAACAGAATTAGAAAACCTTACACAAGTTAAGTTATGTATGGGAGAAACGTTTTCACTAAAAAAAAACGTTTAGTTAAATTAAAGTTGTAAAAGTTGTATGAATTGGTTAAATATTGTCATTTTTTTCAAGTAATTTTAACTTGAGAAATTTTGTTAGAAAATTTTATTAATTTAAAAAATTATATTTAATAAAATAAATCTTTGGAATTGGGTTTGTGTCTGTAAATATTTATGTTTGTGATCGTGTATTTTAATGATTAGTTGAGAAACTAGAAAAGCAATGACTGTAATTTTTATCTGAATAAAAATTGATAAATAAAACAATATATTATTGCATATTAGATCAAATTTATTATGTGATATCAAGCATATTTTATGCTATAATCCAAATGTACATTTCTTATTAAGTTTTATAATTTTTTTAAGAATACATATTGTAATAAGATATGTGTTATAAGATTTATAATATAATAATATATATCAATAACAATATAATAATATAAAAAGGGAGTAAGTAAATTTGATAATTGAAATTAAAGAAAAACATAAAGCATTAAAATTTATTGACAAAATAAACAAGTTTTCATATGATGGCACTAAGATAATGTTTTTTACTTATTCGAAATTGGTTGATCATTTTGGAAACAAGTAGTAATTGGTCTTTCCGATGTCTTATGTTGTATTCGAGGGTCTGGTATGAAATTTAATCATATATAATGAACAAAAAATAGATAGATTTTTAAGCGGATGAAATTTTACATTATAAGCCTTATTAATGATCTGAAAGATATAAACAAGATTGATAAACGAGGTTAGTTGTAAATGAGAAAAATAATAAACAATTATCACATGATGACAAAGGAATCAAAGAGCTTGAAAATGACTCCAATTGCACCATCAATCATTTAATCTAACACTATATGGCATCGGTTGACAAAGATGGTAGGGGATGATATCTCTTGAATCTCAAATTCTGAATTTTGTCATGCATATTGATGCACATGACACAAGGCCAATTGTTGTTTTTTTTTAAGAAAGGTAGTTATATATCTTTTGGACACTGAGGTATGCTCTTAACATGAACTCAACCTTCACTTCTTATTTAACACGCCATGATTTTGTCCTTCCAAAAGTTGTCTTAATTAAAGCATAAATGATTGAGCAAGTCATACCTTCTGTCTCCATAAAAAACTTAAGTCCACTTGTAATGAAATTTTATCTATCTAAGATACCATTTGGGGGTATCTTTAATATTTACTTATTAGTTTTCGGTATTGGTATATATTTATATTTTTAGAGAATGTTACATAATTAAGAAAAACAATTAGATTAATACAAAAATTATTATTATAATATTATAAGTGTGAAATACCATTTTTTTGTTGCATTCGTTCTTTTTAATTTAACTTTTTTTATTCCAAAAATTAAAATATGAAATATTATTTACATAATTTAAGTCAATTTTTACTCAAACAACAATTCAAGGTTCGTTATATTGTTATTATTATTATTAGTATTGTTAAAATGAGTTGGAATCCATGAATCAATTCGATCCACCACAAATTTGGATCGAGTTGAGTTGAAAAAGAAATTAAAATTTTGATACAGGTCAATTTTGAACTCGACTCACTAAGAACCTGATTCACCTGGGTTGAATTCGTGGTAAGCAAGGTTGACTCATTAACCCATATAATTTTGTTTTTTGTGATTGATTTTATATATATTTGGAGTTTAATATGAGTTTGGATTGTATTATATAATTTTGATTTTGAATTGTCTTTGGAGTTTAAGATCATTTTGAATTAAAATTTTTATAGATTTGAATTAAAATTTTTTTTTATCTTTTTAAATTAAAAAATAAAATTATAATGAAACGAGTGAGTGAATCAACCTGTTTAATCCATCAACCTGTAATAAATTATATCAAATTTTAATTTTTTTGATTAGTTAATAAATAAATCAAGTTTGATAAGTGCTCAACCCCATCGAGTGGAGTTGGACTGATGATTGTTTTTGTAACTCTAATTACTAATTACTATTATGTGCACATGCTAAACATATTGGAAAAGTTGAATGAAGAATGTTTAATGCGAAGAGAAATAGTTTTTGATGATTGATTGGGCTTACATATTATATATACGAGATGAATTGCAGTTTGCAGGCGGAGTTATATTTATTATATATTATGGAGTGAGAGGGTTGAATTTATTTTTAGCAAATGTTGATAAATTATAGATTTGATGGATCGTCATTAGGAAACAGACCTGAAGCTTATTATATAAAAGTTGAAGTTGAAGTTCCCAATATGAGAGTGGGTGCTGTTTTTTTATTATGTAGATGATGAATGTTGTGCCAGGGGCTCTGCATCGCCACCCTCCTTCCTCCTACTTCATCTACTTCTCTTCTCTTTCTTCCACTCCTTCACCTCATCCATTTCTTATTATATTCTGATATTACATTTAACAGATGTAACATCACTATGAAAAAATTTGAGAAAAAAATATCATAAGTTTAATATGATTATAACAAAATAAGATTAAATATATTTTTAATTTTCACTAAAAATTTGAATTATTTTCTCTTCTAAATTTTGGTTCAATTAAATTCTTCAACTGTAAATTTAGTCTTTCTAATAATTTTTTTAAAAATAATTTAACATTTTAAAAATATTTCATGATAATATTTGAGTTGTGTTTGATATACATTTTTTTAATGTTAATTAATAAATACGTTTAAAATTTTAAATAAACTTACAGTTGAAAAAAATTAAATTCACACTCTTATAGAATTAAGAGACTAAATTAGTCTAAAATTTCAAGATTACTTTTAATTTTCAATTAAAAATAAAAAATCAAAAACATATTTAAAGCTAACACAAAATACTAATAATTAAGATTTATTTATTAAAAAAATATTAAAAAGTGAATAATGCAAGAACATAATGAAGTAGGAGATGAAAATCATCACACGTGCAGATGGGCGTGTCTCTCTGCCTTTTCTATTTGTGGTGGTTCACATGCAGCACCTAATTATAATTGGAAATGGATCTTCATAAGATTGCAAAGATGGGTTTGTGGAATCTCCTAAGAAAAAAAGTACATTGAAATTATTATTAGAGATTTGAGTTATTGGGTGTCAAATTTGCATGTTGGATTCTGTTTATAAATATAATATAATTTGATTGTGGATGGTGTTAGTTCAGTAAGTACAGTTAGGTATTGAAATAACTTCATCACCAATAGTATCATAAGATTCAACCAAATTCTCTCCTTTTGTTTCTATTCTGCTTTCTCTTTCTTTTATCCTTTTTCCTTTCAATATTCGATTCCATCACCTAACACTATCACATATCAACAACAAAATCAAATAATTAAACAAAAATAAAATAATGTTTACAATTTTAAAATATTGTACGGAAGAAGATAAATTTAAGA